ATTGGATCTCAATATGATTTGCACATCGCTTTTATGGGTTATCAGACAATTAATTGGCCTGTGGTCTCCTTTGAGGTCGGTCGCATTTTTATCGTTTCATAAAAGTGATGCTTGCATTCAGCAAACATGAAGCACGTTTTTAGACGTAATCAACTATCTCTCTGTCGTATTTTTCAATGTTTTTTTAAATATTTTCGTTTTTCTAATGTTTTCATCGCCGGTTTCTAGCCTCTTACGCGCCCAACGCCGGTATTTTGACACATGTAAGGTGTAGATATGTTGTCATTTCGTAGAGATGTTTTGAAAACAAAATTTCTTATTTATTAAACTTTAGCACTGAAGAGAACTCGCACAGTTCTCTTCAGTAAGGAGGACAATTTTCGTGTTCTTGTGGCAATTATTTCCATTGCTTATTAAAGTAGAGGAGGAACGGAATTTCCTTTACTTTTCGCGTTTTTCAGTAATAATTTTTTCTGTTTTTCAATATAGCCTTCATTTTTCGATTTTTTTGCGCGTTCTCGTTCCTCTGATGCCTTTATAATTGTTTTGGGCATCTTGAAGTATACAACGTGATTATAATTTCCTACGGTTTCCTGTGTTCCGGTTCGACTCATTCAAATTATATCATCTCATTTGTTAATAGTGCAAACAAAACCTATTGACATTTTGATAATAGATTCGAATGATTCTACAAATGTTGTCAACTCAGCCGAATTTTTGTGCATAAATCAGTGATAACTGATGTATTTAAATTGTAATGTTAGTAATGTTTTGATAATATGTTCTGATGAGGTCGTTTGCTATTAAATACAACTCTTTTTGATTCGATTGGTGAACCAAAATCATTGACAGCACAATAACAATAACTGTACAACAGCTGATGGAATAAATTAAATTTCGAATCATTGTGCGTATGCATACTTCATGAGGTTATTTACAAATGATATAACCTCTCAAAACTCGCCATGTACAAACAAGAACGTTCACTGCAATCATCGATTTATTTGTTGATTTCAAAACAAAATTCAATGCCAGCAATACGAAAAACTGAGATAAAAACATGAGCAACATCAACAATCCGAGCAGTACTCAGAATAGTTCGAAGTAAGTTGATGAAAATGATAATAATATAAATTTAAGAATATAATAAATACAGTAACATAACAATTAAGTGGGTAAAACAATTGCAGAATGTGAACAACAACAGCAAACATTTTATATATATAAATCGAACAACAACGATGAAAATATTCAAAAAAAATAGAATTTTCCTCAATATCAGCATCATTCCTGAAATTCCACAACATTTGATAGTTAACAAAATATTGATAGTCACCGGAACTGATTCCTTAGTTCTCTATAGCATTGAAGAGAGCTCGCACAGTTCTCTTCAATGCAAAAGAGAGCTAGCATTAGTTCTCTATAGCATTGAACAGAGCTCGCACAGCTCTCTTCAATGTAAAAGGGAACTTGCATAATCTCTTTTAGCATTGAAGAAAGCTAGCACAGCTCTCTTCAATGCAAAAGAGAGCTAGCAGTTCGTTTTGCCAAAATTGAGGAGAAATGATACACGCCCATTGTGCAATTCGTCCCACACCATTGCGAAGTTGAAATAGAGAAATTATTTTAACGTAATCTATATATTTCGTGAGCTTTTTCGCTAGAAAAAAAGCTAAGGTTAATGATACGCCAGTTTTTAGAATCCGTTTTTAGCATCGCATCCGTACTTGACGTTTAGAGGCTAAAATTACTCCATTCAATGACGATCTTTAAGGGTTTTCACGATGGATAAACTCAAAACGAAACAACAAAAAATGGTCGAAGAAGCCGAGAAGTTGGCCAGGGAGACGGCTAGAAAGCAAGCGCAACTGAGACGTATTGAAAAGGAACGACTGCTTCGAAGGACTGTTTTTGAAACCATTTGTGAATTGTCGGAAACAGTCAGCGAAGAGATTTTACTTCAAAAGGTTTTTATGTTCTCTTAAATTAACCTTTTCACATCAATTAGTTGTAAAAATGCAGTTTTTATTTATGTTGTTGTAAACACGAAGATGAATAATGCAGATAAAGTGTTTTAATTTGAATACAATCCGTTTCATTTTCTTGAAGTAATGAATGCGGGTGTGATTTTGAGTGTTGGTATTATGAAAATTTGAAAATCTTTCCGAAGAATTGCCTGGAAACAAGCACCTATTATTATCGGATAGATATAAATTTCAGTTGAATAACCTTGATGTGAACAGCTGGTGGGAGATGGTCGAAGAACGTTTCTTGGATCATTTATGTGGATTTCCACTTTGCTCGAACAAAGTGGTCATGAAGCAGTTGAGTTTGTATCGGATCGATCGCAAAAACAAGAAGGTTGTATTTATATTCTTGCTAAATTCCTCGTCATTATCTGCTGACAATTCCATTCTTTACAGTCGTTTCTGTGCCTGCTGATTAGAATTTTAGAAATGATTATTTGGATGGTTACGTGTGCGTTTCATTGCAGATCTTCGAACGGTGTACGGAAACGCAGAAATTTTGTGGTGAGAAATGTTTTCGACGATCGGCATATGTCATTTCGCAGTTGGCCGACGAACCTTTGTGGATTCGTGGCAGTCACTGCGGTAGATATTTGAATTTTGCACTCATCTTTTCGGTCTTCTTCATGATAAGGTTTTCTGAATTGTCAGAATACTGTTTAAAATTATCATAATGCTGTATGGAATCATTTAGATGGTGTTAGTTTTGTTTTAATATGCAAACGATTTCGATTCCATACAATATCATTAGTGAGATACATTTGTATCTGAAGTGTGAGACCATATAAAAGAATTCAAATTATTTTTTATCAGTCTGAGATGATTGAAAACCAGTGTTTTAGCGCCACGAAAATTCAGTCTCAACCCTCCTCCAACGCAGAAACCTGTTGAACAAACCGTTGCAAAGCAACCAATAAACGTGGAATTCGTTAGGGAACGATCGGTCGTAATGAAGTTGTCCGATCTTCACGTAAGTTCACTCATTACAGTTTCATCAGTACGATTAAGTGGTAATGCGGTTTTATCAGAAATCGTTTATTTTATTCGCCAATTTAGAATTTGAATTGGTTTATCGAGATTGTTTTAGATCGGTGAATCAGCTGAAACGGATGACGAGAAGAGCGAAGAAGACGAGGACATTTACAGCGGTTTACAGTCAAAAGATAATGAAGAGCGAATGTGGGAGTTAAGTAAGCAGATGCGATCGTGTGCAGTTGGTTCACAGAAAGCATCCCAAGCTCCTGAACCCTCGAAGAATGTCAGTGCGAACTCAGAACGTAAATTGGATAATCATGAGGAAGGTGTTTGTACTCGGATTGTATCATCGGATAAGAAAAACGACGACGAATCTCATGATAAGATTCCCGATTCCAACAAAAAGACATCTCCTCAATCAAATACGTCCACAAAGCAGCAACCAAAGGTTTGCAACATTTCGAATTATTCGTTATTCATGCCGGGATTGTTCTAGCTATTCAAATAGTGTGCAAAATTCAGTGGATTGAGTCGGTGATTCAAACCGATAGATGAAATTTGTAATTTGCCAGAACTTTAGTTGCGATAAAAGTGTTCCGTTTATTTCCACAGATGTTTTGTCAACAGTTTTGACTTACTTGAATGTAATCGTTTCATTTCGAATGACTAATAATTCATGGCGGATTTGTTCAGGAAGAAGCGATGTTGAGCTTTGAAGAGAAGATGGCAAAATTGAAAGCCAGGTGTTCAGCAATCAAGCAAAAACAACGAACACCGAAAATAGTCGAAGCGAAACCATTGGATATGCTCAGATATGCAAAATTGGCCGAAAAAGCATTCGAGGAGTTCGAAAAAATTGCAAAGTGAGTGAAATTAGTTATATTTCGTTCATATTTGTGAGCGATGTTTTAGCCTAGTTTCGCTGTCATGTTTATAAATCCAATAGCGATCGGGAATCTATAATGTGAATCGGTTTCTCAAGACTGATCTGGTGGGATCTGGTGAATGGTGGATTGTTTCGAAGTTGAAGTTGTTCAGAAAATTTTGGGAATTGAACGTTTTGAACGTTTTCAGACAATGGGTTGGCAAAGCAACACTATTGTATTTGCAAAAACGTGGAACATTGACTATATTCGATGATGAGGCACTGACTGAGGTGGAGGCGATCTTTATGCAGTTCTGTGCGGGTGATCGCAAATTGCCTGGGAAGGGACGAGATGGCGAAGGGGATGTGATTCTCCCTAGGGTGCACAAGTATGATCAAGCTTTGGCTAGAAGAGATGTTCTTTATGAGTCGCTTCTGCCAAGGTTAGTAGTCCTAAACTTTAGTTACTTCGTATTGTCGTTTTATAAACTTTTGAGGTGGCACTATTTTTATGGTGTTCTATCGAATGTGATTCACCACGTGAAGATGTTCAAGATTCTCGGTGCTATTATCTGATGAAGGGATTTGGTTATTCTTTAGTGGTGTTTATGTGTTTTCGTCAAGAAATTGGAGTATTTTGATTTTGTTGAATAGGTTGAGCTAATAGAAAATATTTTGAAATTAGTGAGCAAGTGTGAATCTGTTATTTGTTTGATCAGAGTGATCTTAGAATTAGAATTGTCATTAGTCGGTTATCTAGCGATGTTTAATTTTAAGTTGGCATTCGTTTGAGCGCGATATCGAAGTGGAAGACTGTGCACATCGAGCATATCCACTCATTTCGACATTCACGCTGAGTGCGGATAATGTGAATCTGGATAAATGTGAAGCGAGACTCGCGGTTGCTTTTATTTTCCGCCTGTGAGTGTTTTCAAACATATACAATTTGTTTTTTGTCACTCTGTTGGTGGAATAGTTTTGATTAATATGAATTCTGGTGACGCTTTCAGTGTTGTTTGCATAGTCGACATTAATAATCAGTCATTGAAATATGGCCCGTACTGAGTGAATCGATTATTGAACTGTGATCACAGACGTGAACTTTGTTTTATGGTGATATCAAGTGAATTGCTGATAAAGTTGTGTTAGTAGGGTTGCCTTATGGAAGATGAAATAGCATTTAGGCTGTACGGAGTTTATGCTTACGATTAGGTTCTAATTTTCAGTTTGGCTCATTGCGATACGGATTTGCTGGATGTGTATTTTCCAACGAACAAATGTGTGAATTCGAGTTTTGCGAAATATTTGGAGAATATTGAATGTCCTATGAGCGTATTCAATCGAATGATCAAAGATGTTATGGATCGAATCGCGTCCTTGTCGTCTGATCAAGAGCAGGAGCATAGTGATGTTCATTAATTTGTTGTTTCATCATGTTTACTTTGCTGATCACTCACTCACGTTTTGGGATGTGAGTGCCTTGTTGCCATGTTGTGATGGTTATTTTTGCGGGTTCATATCATTATTGTTGTTGTTATTTATTGTTGTTAATTTCATGATTAATGATATAATTTTGTGTTTGATGAGCGGTGCTTAGTTACTCAGATTTTGTACTTGCTGTTTATTTTCATATTCTGACTCACTGATTTCATGTATGTCTTCGATTTTTCAAAAGTTTTTCCGTAAATTGTTGGGTTCATCTGAGTTTAGGAATGATTTTATTAAAAATAAGTGTTTGTTGTTTCGTCGGATAGTTTGCGTTGTTTTGGCCATCGCTCAGAAAGGTTTCGTTTTTGAAGTTTAGCTCATTTTGTAGTGGTTATCTGAACATGCATTTGAACAAGACGTATCTTTTTTTATTGTATTCTTTGACAGTGTATTAATGGTGTGAGTTGACTTTCGCTGATGATTTCTAACCTTAGTGGATAGGTTGTTATAACGGGTATTTAATGAATTGATTGTTAAATAGTATGATATGCAATAAATATGTTATGATTGTCACGCGTGTGATAACATATGCAGTCTCATTTGAATGACATCATCAGTGGCGTTTGTGTATTAAAAGATATTTGGGTGCATCCGAATATGATTGCGGAGAGATGAATTATGGATAAAGATAAATTAGTTTGGTAATCAAGCGATTGACTTGTACAATTGACTCTTCTGAATTTAGAATGATTGATAGTTAGGGCAATAATGCTCATCAATAATTAATATTGCCTGATTGATTGGGGAGAACTTTGCAGGAGTTTTTGAAATGAACATTTATTTAGCATACGTAGGATATATTGTTGACCTCTTTGAATCATCCTTTCAAAAAAAGGCAAACTTAATCTTAGTGTTGATAATTTATAGCCGTCGTTGAATTTGATATATTAGTGTCACGTCACGTTTGCATTAGCTCATCAGCGATTTGAACCTTTGAAATGAATATTTAAACGATTGGATGGATGCTTTGGTGACAGTACCAAATGTTTCATGCAGGTGCTCGCTTGTAGATTCATTTGAACTGGTGTGCGATTTGCAGAGGTTTCTTTTTGGTGTGAAGAATCATCTGTCCTGAAGTTGTTAAAAGTTTGTGTCTATCATTGGGCATAGGGATTGGGTTCCTATGAATCAAGAAGATATAATCTGTGAAGCTGATCTCATTTTTGATCATTTGAATGCTCTGAGATATTAGAGGAGCATTGTTTGTTTCGGAATTCAGTTGTGACCTTACTACGAACGTTGAATTGATATCCTTTTCGCGCAGAAGGACAAACTTCACAATTGGATTTGACAATGAATCAGATCAAGAGGTTCGAATGCAATTTGAGATATTCAAGTATTTTGTTTGAGATAAATTCTATTTTTGCATGAGTGTTTTAGTTGAGGTATGAACTGAAAATTTGACAGGAGATAATACACTGAGAATAATTCTGAAGCTTATTTATCACATTGTGCCACTGTTCAGCATCCGATGGGACTATTTTTAGGTGTTTCCGATCGGTTTCGTCTAGCATGCCGTTGGATATTTGTATGGGATACACGATATTAGGAGTGCTCGCCATCACAGTGCCATACATTTTCATTTGGACATATATACTAGTGGGTATTGTTCCTATTTCTTATATGATCTGAATGCGAACGTAATTTTGATTTCGATTTCGTTAATTTTATTTAATTAAGTTTTTCAGATGTTCTCTGAGACGACCATTTGAGGTTTTTTGAGCTCAATTCAATTGTTTGCTCAAATCTTATTTAGTTTAATTTTCAGCCTTTCGCTCCCCCAGATGCTTTCATCCGAAACCTTTTTCCTTCACAATACTTAGCAGTTTTGACGCTCACGTTACTTTTTGTCATCACAATGCTTCTCTATGGTTTGTCACTTATTTATTCAATTTTTTTCTGTCTTTAATATTCGGATTTCAGTGCTTCAAAAAAAACGAAATGAATTTGAAGAAATTCTACGAGAGCTAAAATTTCCTATTCTTTCTAGTTAAGAATGAATTTGCACTCCAACTATATAATGCCTCTGAGTTTTGACTCTAAATGATCATTAATGGATACGTCAGGTATTTTCACGGTTGGTCTGTTCATTTGTGAACGGTACAAGAGAGTGCAACGACGGGCAGATGATAATGGAGCACTAAAAAAGAATCACTGATGCCTCATAATGCGATTTTATCGCTCACTGATTCTGAATCAACAATCAGTGTTGTGATTTTTTTTCTTCATATTGGATTTAGTTCATATTTAATTCATGTTCCTAATAAATGCTTCGTATTTGTTTCCGCTTGTGTGATCATCAAACAAATAATAATGTAATGTTGAACGAAAGCCATTAAGATGAACAATCAGTTCGTCGTACGAGTGCCAGCAGTCCTGTTGATGTGCGATTAGTAAGGGAATCAGATCACGGAGACACGCTTGCTTTGATTAAGCCAAATCCTAACTTTCCATATGATTAGTAAAATTTGTGTTGCTGTTTTCTGCGATTGAAAGTTCTCTAAGAAATTTCGTCTGATAACAGTGACAGATTGACTATTTTCTTTTTTTCTGAACTATTTTCTTCTTGTGAACTATTTCGTATAACAAGCGATTATTTTCCTCTTCTGAACGCACCAAAAATGCAATACATCAGTCATCAGAATCACCTGCGTTCTTGTGATATTAATTGAAAGGTGTTCCAAAGCATAAAGTGGAATAGTAAGAACACACAGAACAGATATCAATGAACGCGGTCATTTCACAAACTTCGAATAGTTTTATTTCACTTCATCGATTAGGCGAGGAAGAGGAGTAGGAAAACATTGAGCTAGCTCACTGATGAAAGTCTACTTCCAGACAACTGAAAACGTTTGTTTCATCGTGGACAAATTGACTACGAAAAACTAGTAGCATTTGCAATCACACTGTATTGGTGGTTGATCTCAAAACTTGAACGAAATGATACTGAATCAAAATTGTGTTCATTCGATTACGGTTGATTATGACACGATAAGTTTTACGAACTCAATACCATAGTAAATAAGCATATAAGAAACAGAATTGTGAATTATTCAACTTGAACAATTGCGCGCAATGAGAATATTGCTGAATTCTCATGATAAAGTTATTGGTACGGTAACATTATTGTGAACTGGATTAATAAGCTTGCTCTGATCATCTTTTACAAAAAAGCATATACTTCGATGTTGCACGCACAAACACGCACACACTTTTGAGAAAAGTTCTGAAGCAATGAATGATTTGTGTCGACAACTTGATTGTTGATACGAGTTGTTGATCTGTGAAGTGATCTGATCTGATTTACTGATTGGNGATGAACTTTGGTCCAGCACGTTTAGCCTCATCCAATAACGACGAATCATCGAGGTCATCCTGAAAGTGTGCACGAAATTCTTTGGAGCAATTTTCGTCATTCACACGTAAAAGAAAGAAGGAGAATAAATATGGATTTGTGAACGATCTTATCATTTTAGGAACAACTAGTCTTATGTTTCTACAGGGTAACGAGACCAACAGGATGAATCTTTTTCGATTGTTTGATTCTTTTAGATGGGTATCTGGATGAATGTTGATGTTTTTGGATGATAATTGGATGTCTTCTTCGCCTTCGAGTAATCATGACAAGAACATATGACTATCACACACTAGGGAATCTACTGTCAAGTATTGTACAGGTGCTGCTGTCTGAGATAAATTTAAATAAATCAACAAATTGGGGCTAAGTCGGCATTGAATTGGATTCGATTTCATCATTTCTAGGAAGGACGGTCGTCGATCGATATCCGACGGGCAAGTCGTCGACTTAGCTTCGAACTGGTTTATGTTTATAAACAATTAGTTCATGTTTATATTTCAGTCATTTTCAGATGAATTTCTCAACTTGTGCCTCAATTTTGAAATTTTCGCATAACAAGCAAGGTTTTCTCGTAATACCACCATCAGTTATCATTA